ACATTAGGTTGTTCTATCACTTCTTTGGCAACCGTAGCAGTAGCAGGATGAGTTACAATCCTTTCAAAACTCGTCATAGAATCAGTAAACTCACAATACTGAAAAACTCTAAAAATATGGAGAAATAGATGTCAAGATCGAGATAACAAACCAACAAAGTACCTCAGAAATGGTCTGAGAATCGAGGATAAACAATCCAATCTGTATGAGAAGAGATCCCAATGACAAGGTTTCAGATCTAGAATGGAATTGAAAATCCAACTCCAAAAACCCAACAGCGATGATAAGAGAAAAGAACCAAGAGCTTATAGCTCTGATACCATGTTAGAAACTGAAAAGAAGGAGAAATATCTGAAGTATCTGAAGAAAGGTTTATTGCTTTCTTGAATTATACTGTATGTACAATGACCTATATATAGGTGTATCTGAAGAAAGGTTTATTGCTTTCTTGAATTATACTGTATGTACAATGACCTATATATAGGTGTTTACAAAGAGAATATTCTAAAGTATAAAGTATGCAAAGAGAATATTCTAAAGTATAAAATATTTACAATAATTCTAAATATAATTATATTCACATCTTGACACTCTGGAAATCCACTTTAAAAAAAAATCAAATAAAACTATTTTTTTGAGCTTTAATTACTAGTTTGAGTAATGTGAGACTAATGAAGCCAAATTCATATCTTCTTTTAGCAATGACTTAGCAATTAAATGAGTACTTTATCATCAATTTATGTTTTTTTTTTTTTCATATCTAAAGTTGAGTACCAAGACAAGAATTTAAGTTTGAAAATTTGGCGTTAATTAATTTAAAATTCGGATCTTTTGAAATTTTGTTCCATTGGAGCTTGTAGATTAACCTTTGGTGCCTATGGCTGTTCGGGGGGTTTTGACGAGGATGAGAGAGAAAATAGAAGAAGAGAGGAGAAAGGGAAGGAGAGGAAGACGAAGGGTACTTTTGTCTTTTTAAATTGATAAAGTTAACAAAAGAAAGAGGATAATTTGTTGAAATTGAAAAAATATATATATAAAAATACTCCAAACAGGTTGCAGTTCAGTTCAAACAGGTTGCTCGCAGTGTGACGTGGTCCAATAAATAAGCAGGTGTTAGTTGGAGTGTGCAGAATTCAACTGCCCTAGCACTGCTCTTATGAACTAACGAAAATGTCTCTATCTTTAATTTTGAGCGGAAAATGCCTCTTTTTTATGGGTAATGATACGAAAATAATATTTTTATATAATTTTTTTAATAAAATTTTTAAATATTATTAAATTAATTAATGTATATAATATTATAAACTCTAAATAAATAAAAATAATTAATTATTAATGACACAAATTATATAAAATATTTTCTTTAAATCATTTTTCCTCTTGTTGTTTAGTCTAATGAAAGTTTTTATTGCAAAACTCCACACATTGAATGGAGAGGCCCACACTTGTTATCAGGGCTGTCATCATTTTGAAAGGTTAAAGTGTGTTTGGTTTGAAAAAAAGAAAAAAAGAGGGATGATTTTTTTAACAAATGAAACTATAATGTTTACAAATAATACAATTTGATTAATAAAAAAATTCATCTCATCTCTTTTCAAAAATACTGTCAAACTGAACATACCATTAATGATTTGTGAAATTTGGACAGCAAAACGCATTTTTTGCTTTTTATGTTGCAACAATACCCTTTAAGAATGCTAAAATGCAGTCTTTCATGTACAGACCATATTTTTCCAAACATTAATGGAGAAATACCTCTACTATCAGAAGTTACGCTACTCTTGGATCAGTGCCGGTGCACCATCTGGGCCCAATCACTTTTAAGTACATATTTTTCATAACATTTTCATTTTTTATCTGTCTTAACTGACTACGGTAAGTTCAATTATTCACAAATCAGGACGCATTTTGGACACCCCCTCACAAAAGTATTGATCGATAACATTTTTCTTTTCCCTAAGATCTTTTAAGCCACTGCATACCACATAACTTCCGATTTAAACTTAAAATCTCATTTATTAGAAAGAGAGTAACATTTAAATACTTAAATAAGGATAGTTAATAACATTTGTTAATAAAAAATTATCTCAACATGGTACGATAATTTTTATTATTTCTTTTCACTTAGCATGAGGCATAAATTGACAAGCATCCGCAATCATTATGTACCCAAAATGTGTGGACCAGAGATGAGAAATTTCACTGTAAACATAGAGGGAAAGCCTGGCATGTTCAGAATATGACAAACATGTCTATCAAAATATGAGCCATTAGTCCAACCCAATTTGTTTGTGACAAACCATAAAAGGTCACAATCAATTTTACAAAGCCTAAATCCACACTTTTGACGACAGTCGATAATTTTTCACTCATTGCCAGACGGCTAGTAGAGTGTGACAAATAAGATGCATTCACCAAAAACAAGAAGACGATACAGGTTGAAGGAAAGGCTAAAATGGTGACAAACTAGAATCGCACCATATCCTGAAGGCAATCATAGAAGTGAGCGATCTTAATCTTTTCTTTACCAGAATAGATTGCCTCTGCAGCTCCACCATACTCTCCTTGAGCCGCCATCTCAATCAACATGTAGACCTTCTTGATAGGCATCTGCCAAACAATTTTCAATGTAATGGAATTTAGTATTGATGTTTACAATGAAAACAACACACAAGTCAGGATTAACGACTCACATCATTCAGGGCCTCAGCAGCTGCATCTATATCATCTTCAGCAAATACGTTCAATTGCTTTAACACCTGTGAAAGAAAAGTAGTAGAGATGAATTTAAGATTGCTCTAAAATCCATTGCAAAAATATGAATAAATCACACTCAGACCAGAACAGGCCAGACACCACAACTGTGAAGAAAAATGAATGAATTATCACATTTGTAAAATGTTAAATCATTTACCAAAAACCTGTTATTACCTCCTTTACGTCCTTTGTCTCCAATTTCGGAACTTGATAAGTGACAGAGAAAGCATCACAAATGCCAATTGATTTTAAGAAGCTCACTTCACTGGTTGTTCCTAACACGAGAAGTTTCTTCCCCTGAAAAAGAAGTTTAAAATTTTAAAAATCAATATATTGGAAACTCCATTTGAAACAAAGAAGTAACCAAAAGAAAACGCAGTATAATGCACATTAAAAAACAGGAACAAAAAATAAAAAAATTTAAATTATCGGACAAGACAACAATGTTTGGGATCTAACTTAAAAACTAAAAGGTGCACATGTTTCTCCACGCTTTCCATTTCTCTTTGGAAGAGCATACATAAGGTGACAAGAAGATTGGCATATAGAAACTTTCTTAATGGGGTTGTAAATTTCAAATTAAGCAAACATACAATATAAATAAGTTAATAATCTAGGCTTGAGCAAGATCTAGAGTGACGCAGGGAAGGTAAGGGTAGAACAAACAGAAACTAAGAACTTCATAAATTAAAGATGGAACCAAGAAAACTTTGGTTTTCAACCTTACGTTTATTCTCAACCTAAAATCTAATAACAAAAACTGCTTTCGAAATCTAAGAAGAATAACTATTTATACTAACAATAGCCAAAAATCCTAATTCAATTCTGATTTGAACTTCTAATAAGTTACTAATTCTAATCCTGATTAAAAGTCACATGCTATCCACATGACTTTCCTAAAATTACAACGTATACCCGAACGGATATGCATATATTAGTATCAAAATAATAATAATAATAATAATAATTCTTGCAGTTTTTTTATCCCATAAGAACGCAAAATAGCATAAGCATATTCCATCAAAACATCTTCGATGCTTGCCGTTTTGGGCCAGCCAACCCCATTAAGGTTACCTTAGAAGCGCTATTAATAATAAGTGATTCTCAGAGTCATAAATCCACCTATAGTGATGGTACCAGATCTTCTACTTTGTTTTCCCTTGTCCCTACTAGCAATGTAATAATTATATGGGTATCCTATTTCACAGTCCAGACTGCACCGAACGGTAAAATAGGGATCATTGGATGGGGAAGAAAGCTCCCAATATTGGAGGTCCCAAGCCCATCCAATAGTTAGTGTAATACAGTCTGGTACAGTCTAGACTGCACTACATTTTTTCATAATCGTATTAACAGTTGGACAAGCAGCCTAAGCAAACAAATTTAACTTGACAAACAAATGAACTTCTAATCTTTCCTTACTTTTACATATGATAACCACTTAAGCAGCTTCAAACTGTCAAAGGGATCTATTTACCTTCTCTCACGCCAGAGTGAGATTGCACCTAACTGAAACACCCATTAGATATAAATCATCTTTAGTTTCATTATTTTAAGACTAACAACTCCTGTCCCATTTTGATGGCAGAAAAGATTATCAATTTTCAAAACCATCTGATATATAAATCAAAATCAAAGACAGCAGGCCAACCTAGTAGCATGTGGTGAATCATGTAAACTGTAGAAAACACTACCCGGTTAATAAACCTCTTTTTTAACTGGTTAGTCAGAAGAACAGCATCAAACTGCAAAAGGATAAAAATCAGTCCTGCTACCCTTGTGAAACAATAGAAAAACTAGTACGACAGCAAACAATGAATCAAAACTGAAAAACCTACCT